AGCTAGGTTAATTTACTAGCTCCTCCTAAGTGCTTAAGAGTTCCATATGATATAATTTTCACTTATACGGTACTTTTAGTCCCGTTTACAATATTTTTACTATCTTATAAAATTACTCAAAGGGCTTGTATTGTGTATTGTAAAAATGGCACTGGTTGCTACTGATTTCTTTCTAATTAAATTACTTTAATTAAGAACTTGTATCTTGTTACTAGATAAAAATGTACTGCTTGTTACAAGATTTCTTTCCAATTAAAAGCATATTATCTTTCAGAAATTTTGACAGTATACATTATACAACTTTTTTAAAAAACTATTAATACAACAAAATTTTTTACGCGACAATGTATAATCTCTATCTCATAGAGATTATACATTTATAGAGAATACACAAACTTTAACTTATAATATTCCATTTGATGTATTTTTTGAAACGTCGATGTTATTTTCATCCATCAGTAAACTCGAGAATTTTTCCCAATCAAACGAAATAACGTGTCTGTATTCTATAAGAAAAAATAACTCAGTATTAGGATATAGTTTTATTATATATATATATATAAACACAGTATTGGTTACAATATCAATTTTTACATTTAATTATTACAATTAACACAACCAATTTTATAAAATTTTTATTACAGAATGGTGTGAGAATCCGAACTTTTCAAAAATTTAATCGTCGATGGCGCCATACTTGCTTGCATAATTGTTGTCCTCAGCTACCTGAGAAAATCTCCACTTACACTTTCCCGTTGACGAAAGCGAAGCATTCCCGTGATCTGCTGACTTTTCGGCCTGCGATATCGAACTGATATCAACATTGTCGGCCGAAGAGTGAGTCGTCGCCCGTTCCTTCCGGAATAATGTGAGGCTCTGGACAGGTCCGAACCTCACTAAAATTCGCGTTAAAATAATTGTTTTAGAGAAAAAATATATAGTAGTTAGAGATAGATTTTATTTTATGAAAACGCGACGCTAACTTTTAAACAATAGAAGAATGTAAGTCCGTCGACCATTTCCGCTTGGAGATCGAATTAAACTTCGATTTTGGCCTCTCCCGCGCCCCCGAAAGGTTTCGAATTGTCATCAGGTGATGACGGGGAGACCAATCGGAAAGGGGAATCTGAGAGAAAAAGGATAAAACCCCGGAAATTCGAGGACGCGACGGCTTCTTCTCCCGAAAGTTCCATGTGACGGATCTGTGTGTGTCTCGCACCCATCTTCGTTTCCATCTCCCGACCTCGGATCGACATCTTTCCATCAACGGAAGTCGACCGCATCGTCCCGGAGCCATCGAGACGTGATGGAATGGTTCATTCGCGAACAAGGGACACTCCTTCAAAATGGGAGTATCTTGGAAAGGAGAGGAAGACCCAGAGGC